TATCCTCCTAAAACCATTCTCCATCAGTAGCAAAGTGAAATAATCATATTTTCTTATTTACAACTCTCCAGATACCAATCTATTCTCAAAGGCCAAACTTCACATTATAACATTGTAACATGGCCTACCCTACTTTCTAATCTCATCTTTTAATACTGTCCCTCTTACTAATATGATTTTTAGGTTTCCCATTTAATAAAGTAATTACTTTAGGTTAGTTGAAACACTTAAAGTATCAAATATAATTTTCATTAACTTTCATGGATGCTGTTAACATTTGGCATACACCTCCCAATGCTTTAACACAGTTCTGGAGACTGGAAAGTCCAAAGCACCTGCATTCGGCTAGGGCATTTTATTACATTAGCCCATGCGGCAGAAGGTTAACTGGCCTGATTTTTTTTTTTTTTTGAGACAGAGCCTCAAGCTATTCCCCTGCGTAGAGTGCTGTGGCATCACAGCTCACAGCAACCTCCAACTCCCGAGCTCAAGCGAGTCTCCTGCCTCTGCCTCCCGAGTAGCTGGGACCACAGGTGCCCGCCACAATACCTGGCTATTTTTTGGTTGCAGCCATCATTGTTGTTTGGCGGGCCTGGGTTGGATTCAAACCCGCCACCTTAAGTGTATGTGGCTGGTGCTTTAGCCACTTGAGCCACAGGTGCTGAGCCATCTAGCCAGATTTTATCTCTAGTTCTCAAAACATGCCTTTTCCTGCCTCAGGGCATGTGTACTTGGTGCTCTCTCTAGCTAGACTGTTTTTCCTCTGGAACTTTGTATAGTTGCTACCTTCTTTTTTTTTTTTTTTTGAGACAGATCCTCAAGCTATCCCCTCTGGGTAGGTGGCTTCACAGCTCACAGCAACCTCCAACCCCTGGGCTCAAGTGAGTCTCCTGCCTCAGCCTCCCAAGTAGCTGGGACCACAGGCACCCGCCACAACACCTGGCTGTTTTTTGGTTGCAGCCGTCATTGTTGTTTTGGTGGGTCTGGGCTGGATTCGAACCCGCCACCTTAGGTATATGTGGCTGGCGCCTTAGCCACTTGAGCCACAGGCGCCAAGCCGAGTTGCTACCTTCTTATCCTTCAGGACTCAGCCCAGAGGCCCTCCCTAGCTACAGCAGGCTGCTTTCCTCATTCTCCACAGTATTACTATTTATCACAGCTGTTGATTTCTTTGATTGCATTCACCACAAGCTATAATTAATTTTGTTGACTTATCTTGCGTCAGGCTTCCTGCAATTAGAATATCAGTCTACAAGGATTGGGTCTACAAGTCTCTGACTTCACTGTATCCCTAGAGCCTCGCCCAGTTCCAGATATGTAGTGGGTGCTCCCTGTAAAGTTTTGCTCACTGAATGTTGAAAGAGCCGTGCAGCCCAGGCACAGTGGCTCACGCCTGTAATCCCAGTACTCTGGGAGGTCAAGGTGAGTAGATTGCCTGAGCTCACAGGTTCAAGATTAGCCTGAGCCAGAGCAAGACCCCATTTCTACAAATAGCTGGGCGTTGTGGCAGGCACCTATAGTCCCAGCTACTTGGGAGGCTGAGGCAAGAGAATCACCTGAACCCAGGAGTTGGAGGTTGCTGTGAGCTGTGACCCACAGTACTCTACCAAGGGCAACAAACTAAGACTCTGTCTCAAAAAAAAAAGAAAGAGCCCTGCAATTGCATCTCAGGGCAGCTTTGTTTCCTGAATTTCCAGACTTTTTGAACTTGTTGGAGTGTATTTATTTTACTTTCTTTTCAGACAACAATCAGCCCCATTGGGATAAGTTTAGAGGAACTTTACTTTTCAGTACTTTCATCTGAAGGTTGGGTGAAAACATACTGAGCATATTGTTTGAAATGTTACCTAATATACTGCTTAAAATAAGTTTATTCTGTTTCCTAAATTTCTCAGGGAATTTGTTTCATTGTGCTATTATCCCCATTTCATAAATGAGGAGACTGAGAAAATGATGGTCTAGGAGTCATGAAGTCCTCGAACTCTCTCAGTACTTTTGCCTTATATGTACTCCTTTGCCTCGGTTCCACACACTTCTAGAATCCTACTGGGGATGGCCCGTGGGTTTGGCATGAGATACTTTTTTTTTTGGAGTTCAGGTGTTTGAGACCAGCCTGAGCAAGAGCAAGACCCTGTCTCTAAAACTAGCTAGGCATTGTGGCGGGCACTTGTAGTCCCAGCTACTCAGGAGGCTAAGGCAAGAGAATCACTGGAACCCAAGAATTTGAGGTTCTGTGAGCTGTGACACCAGAGCACCCTACCCAGGGTGACAAATCGAGACTCTGTCTCAAAAAGCAAACAAAAAAAAACACTAAATAGGTGAAGATGCATCTTCCTTCCCAGTGCATAACACCGTGGTGCCATTATTGTTAAGTTTGGTCACTTGGTTAAGATAGTGTTTATCAGACCTCTCCCTTATTTTTGCTTTAATCCACAGAGTAAAAGTTTAAGACAGTGAATATACTTTTCAGCCATTCCTTGATATTTTTAGCATCCACTGATGCTTCTTATCTGAATCAAACTAGTAGGTTGGAAAGTAGCGACTTTGTAGTTATACCTTCCATGTTTCTTAGCTAGCCATTGGGGAAAAGGATCATTCCCTTCTCCCCTTTTATGATGTGCTTAGAAGTTTTAAAACTTTCAGTGTTGGGGCTAGGTGCAGTGGCTCACGCCTATAATTCCAGCACTGTGGGAGGCCAAGGCAGTGGACTGCTTGAGCTCACGAGTTCGAGACCAGCCTGAGCAAAGCAAGACCCCTGTCTCTACTAAAATAGAAAAATTGAGGCAAGAGGATCACTTGAGCCCGAGAGTTGGAGGTTGCTGTGAGCTACAACACCACAGCACTCTACCTGGGGTGACAGCTTGAGACTGTCACAAAAAAAAAAAAAAAAAATTTGGTGTGTTAACACAGTATCAATTTTTATAATTCAATGTATTGATTCATTTTTGTCATTTGATGACCACATTTTCTAAAGTGTGCCAAACAGGAGCCTCCTTCAAGTTGGTCCCTATGTCCTTTTGACAAGTCTCCATCAGTTTTTACTTTCTTATAAAAGATGTTTCAGGATCACCTTGTAATTTTCTTTTCTTGGTCGTAGAAATCAGCCTTTTCTCCCCAAAAATTTCTGATTTCTTTGAATAGGAATGGTATTTAGAAACCAAAATCTGGTGCTAAGTATGCTGATTGCTAATGAGACATCTCTGCTTCTAGGCCTTTTCTGATGACAGAGCTAGTAAATGTCTTCTTTTTAAAAATACAAATTTAGGCTCGGCGCCTGTGGCTCAAGCGGCTAAGGTGCCAGCCACTTACACCTGAGCTGGCGGGTTCGAATCCCCAGCCCGGGCCCGCCAAATAACAATGATGGCTGCAACCAAAAAAAAAAAAAAAATGGCCAGGCATTGTGGCGGGTGCCTGTAGTCCCAGCTACTTGGGAGGCTGAGGCAGGAAACTCGCTTGAGCCCAGGAGTTGGAGGTTGCTGTGAGCTGTGATGCCATTGCACTCTACCCAGGGGGATAGCTTGAGGCTCCATCTCAAAAAAAATAAATAAATAAATAATACAAATTTATATTAGTACCTCAATTTCTACTCTAATAACAAAGGATTCTTCCTTTTCTCCCAGTGAGAACCATTGTTCCGAATGACAGAAATATTCATTTGATCTATCCTGCAATACATACAAAATTGATTGAGTTATAATAAACCAATACCACAAACTCAGCAAGTTCAATATTTCTGGTTCTTCTCATACTTAGAAATCTCTGCATAATCCACCCAAATTATTTTCTGAGTGGTTGTATTAATTGAAGTACAGTTTTGTTAACTATAGGCTCATTGTTTAAATCAGCAAAGGGAAAAAACTAAAATGGAATACAATTTGGGGGAAAATATTTTTTTTTAAAAATTTTTTTGAGGACCAGAGAGAACCAGGAACACAGGATTTTTAGGAAATGGATTTAGCACAAGCACTCACATGGCCTTTGACTTGTTTCCCAGTAACTAGTCAACAAATCTTTGCTAGGACCCTGCCTATTAAAATTGGACTTCATATTAAATCATAAAGGAGTGAAGTGTTTAAGAGCTCACCTTTTTCCCTCTTTCAGAGCACTTACGGAGTTCAGTGATTGATCGAAAAGACTTAATAATTAAAAGGATTAAGCCAAAGCCCCAGCAAGGAGATGACATCACAGTGGTGGACGTGGAAAAGCAAATTGAAGCCTTCCGCAGCCGCCTGATCCAGATGCTGGGGGAACCTCTCGTCCCCCAACTCCAAGACAAAGTGCACTTGTTAAAGCTCCTGCTCTTCTATGCAGCAGACTTGAACCCTGATGCAGAGCCCTCTCAAAATAACTGGAACAGCTCCTGAGGGCCTTCTAAACACTGAACACCAAGAATACCTCCTGAACTCTGTCTTCAACTACTTAGAAACTCAAAGTATGGAAAGTAGTTAACCCTACAGGACCAAACCTATCTTATTTATCTATAGGTTATAATAACTTTCTAACTCTTTATGAAATATTTTTTAAATAATCCTAGCCTAGCCTATTCTCAAATATGGCTTAAATATACAAGGTGTATATATTTTTTAATAAATTATTTATGTATGCTTTTTTTGAGACAGGTAATACTATAACACTATGTTAAACATTTCAAGTGAGAAAATCCCTCTGAACAAACTCTCTACATCAATGTTACGTCTTTCAAGGTACTGAAAACCTGTTTCTAAAGAGAAAGACATTTGTTTTTCCTTTGTGGAACACAAATATTCTATATAAAATCTGTTACAATGCCTATGACTTTCACTTTGTGGCCAGTCTATTAAGATCTAATGTATGAAGAGGTTAGAAACAAAAGGAATGTATTATAAAACATTTGGTGTTAAAAGGACAAAACAAGAAAAGGCAACAGTTTTTCAAAATCCAAGTTTACCATGCTTTAGTTCCATGACTACAGATAGGCAGAACAGAGTATTCTTAAAAGGACAAAGAAATAGAGACCCACATTTGAGAAAGTTATAAGGATTTTTATTGTCAAAATAAAAGACAAAAGACACAAATAAATTAATTGTTCTGATAATTTGAGACTGCAGGACAGCTCTATGGAAAGGTCAGCTCCTATGTACTGATAAAATACTATCCAAATCAAGTGAGAGATAGTGTTCAAGACAGTGACTGAACATGTATGCAGTGAGGAGAAATAAAAACGCAGTTTCCATATTTCCTTTCCCCCAGTAAGGTATCCACTACATAAAGGTATGAGGCTCATTTTGGTGACAAATGCTTTCATACAAAGAATTTTGAATTCTTCCATCTCTAACCACCCCCCCAAAAAAATGTATTAGGCTCTGACCTGATGATGAACAAGAAAATCAAAATAAGGTGATCCTACTTTCACATGAACTCAAGACTAACTGTAGTTACCATCTTAACATCCATTTATCAAACCAGTAGATTGAATTTTCTCCCTTAGAAAGTTTTCAACCACACTGGAATTACTCTCACATAAAATACAAGACAGCATATGCAAGACTAGTGTTTGTTCTGTGGCATAAAAAAGAAATATTCCCCCATTAGCACTGGCCCAAGAGGTACTACATGAGGAAGTAGCTGTAGGACAAAGTGTCTATTAGATCTACCAAAATGCAAGATGACTCCAGTTTCAGCCTGGAAAGAAAGATCCCTGGCAAGTCTAGCTTTTAACTGTACCTGGGTCTCAAACAGATGTTAGGCCCACCTACCTGACAAGGCTGAATACAGCACCAGCAGTCAAGAGGCCTAAAGTTGTCTGAACTAGTCAGTGAGCATCTCTATGCCATGATTTGTCAGTGCTCACATTGACAGTGGTAAAGGGATCAGGAAGCCTGTGTTTTTAGAGCAGCACAAACATTGTCTCAGTAAGCAATGATCACAGTCTTGTCTAGGGTAAATAATACAAAAATAGATCATGAAGTCCCCATAGACAAGTGCTGAGATTTAACCTAACTTTAAAGCAGTACAAAATGGCTTCTCCCACATAGCAAGAGCAAACTGCACTACTGTTTCTCAAAAACCAATTAAGTCTTCAGGTATAGCCTCAATTTAAAAGATTTTTTTTTTTTAAATATACCTTTCCTATGTCAGAGCCAAGGTAAAAGGGAAGAGGGTCTCTATAATCCCTGGAACAGAAATAGCTCTAGAAGCCAGTGGGTGTGAGCACATTCAAGTCACGGGGTTTGAGATTATGGGTCCGTGGGGGTTGTTTCTTCCCTTCCATCCCTGGGATGTCCATCTTGGGTGGCTTGAAGCTTGCTGGATCTTCAGCCATCCTAGTGGCCTGGGCTCGGATCAGTTCCATTGGAGAGGGTTTCTGGGCTCCCTGGTAGGCCTGGGTGGCAAAACTTCCTACATAAGTAAACCAGAGAGCAAAAGATTTCAAAACCAGTAGGCAGCTCCTGATCTACAACACAATAAAATTCCTCCACTTTGCTTTCATTTTTGAAGGCGCTGCCTTACCTGAATCATACTTCTGGAGGGATCTTGGTCCAAAGAAGCTCCATTTATCTGATGGGTTTCTGTCCTTATCCCCACTTCCAGAATCCATGGTGCTAGGATTTGGGCCAGGTAAAGCTGTGGAAGAACCAGAAGTAAACCAGCCTCTGGAAGAGAGAAATAAAACATATCCTAATATATTCTTTTCCTATACAGGTAGAAATGTGTGAGCTAGCCCTTCTCACTCAGAATCCACAGGCCTAAATACAACTTCATTCTTGCCACTAGCTCCCCCCTGAAGCACACTGACAGGGATCACAGAAAGGGCTCACCTGGGCCTATGCTTGGGTGAAGAATGAGGGGTGCTGCTTGGAGTGGACTGGGCTGACACAGGCTGCTTCTCTTCTTTTGTTATCTCTCCACTCTGTAGCTTTAGTTTCTGTTCAGATGGGTAAAAAGAGACTTTTTAAAAATGACTAAAAATCGGCTTGGTACCTGTAGCTCAGTGACTAGGGTGCCAGCCACATATACTAGAGCTGGGGGATTCAACCCACCCTGGGCCTGCCAAACAATGACAATTACAACAAAAAAATAGCTAGGCGATGTGGCGGGTGCCTGTAGTCCCAGCTACTTGGGAGGATGAGGCAAGAGAATCGCTTAAGCCTAAGAGTTTGAGATTGCTGTGAGCTGTGACACCACAGCACTTGACTGAGGGTGACATAGTGAGATTCTGTCTTGAGAAAAAAAAAAAGAAAATCTAAAACAGATGCTAAACAGCTAAGTCTGGGCATAAACAATTTGGTTCACATTTTAACTTGAGGCACAAGGAAAAACATAGGTGGAATGATTTCACATGATCTAATAAATACTCCCTTTGTTTCACCATACTAGATGGAATCCTGTCTTTTAACAAATGCATTCATTTTATAACATGTCTCAAATATCTCTGTACAAAAAGCTCTGCACTAGAGCACTTATTTTTAGAAAAGTGAAGTAACTTCCCCACATGTACTCAGCTAGTTATATGGGACAGCCAGAGCTTAAAAGGCCAAGAAGGTCCAAGGCCTTTTAAGCAGGGCCTTGAAGTCTTATCTCACTGCCTCTCCTACTGTGCACACACCCTATGGTTCCCAGCCCCTCAAAGCCAGCACTCAGGCATGCTACTACTCTTTGGCTAAACACTTCCTCTGTGGAGCCTACTCTAGTCTCTCCTCTCCAATAATTGACCACTCTGGGGTCCCTCAGCATTGTAAGCATACCTCTAACAAACTAGGAGCTTAGTAGAAGACAAATCTCAGTTTTGGTGCAAGGCTCTGCCCTCCATGTCTATTATGCGACTGCCTAGTCCAAGCTACATTCTGAACAAATAATCACATTTGAATTTTTTTTTTTTTTAGAGACAGAGTCTCACTTTGTTGCCCTCGATAGAGTGCTATAGCATCACAGCTCACAGCAACTTCCACCTCTTGGGCTTAGATGATTCTCTTGCCTCAGCCTCCCGAGTAACTGAGACTACAGGCACCCACCACAACTCCCAGCTATTTTTTTGTTGCAGTTTGGTCGGGGCCGTGTTTGAACCCAGCACCCTTGGTATATGGGGTTGGCATCCTACTCACTGAGCCACAGGCACTGCCCCACATTTGAATTTTCTCATTCAACATACAAGTTTATATAAAGTGACAATCTGTTACAAAATGGGGCTAATTACACCTAGCATTTCAGCTGTCCTCATGTTGTAGCCTTGTGGGTAAGATGCAAAAAATAGGCCAGGCCAACCAAAGTCAGTCCTACCATCCACTATTCACATGGAATTCTGCCTGACCTATCTTAGAAAGTTCTCAATTAAGTGTCAAAAGCTGACAGTGCCCCTCTCTGGAAGCATCTGTCTTGGCTAAGAGTTTAAACTGGCCACCAACCCAACTCTGATCCCCTATAGCAATAGCTTAGTTTTTAAACAGCCTGCAGGCCAGATGTGGTGGCTCACACTGATAATCCTACCACTCTGTGTGGCTGAGGCTGGTGGATTGCTCAAGCTTTGGAGTTCAAGACCAGCCTGAGCAAGATCAAGACCCCGTCTCTACTAGAAATAGAAAAATTAGCCCAGTGTGGTGGCACTGCCTGTAATCCCAGCTATTCCAGGAGGCTGAAACAAAAAGGATCTCTTGAGCCCAGGAGTCTGAGGTTGCTGAGAGCTGTGATGCTATGGCACTCTGCCAAGGGTGACAGAGTGAGACTGTCTCAAAAAGTAAATAAATAAACTTAGCTAATCATGTGGAATGCTCGTTACAAAATGCAAACACTCTACAATGTCTTATGTCCTTAGCCCAGGGCACCAATATCCATGTTATCTCTTTTTCCATGTGTTGTATATCATCCTTCCCTGCCTTCTGTGCTGCCATGACCATACCCCACAGCCCCCCTCACACCCTAGTTAGAACTCTTACAACAAAACTTGTAACAAGATGGATTACAAGATGAATTATGACCCACCCTTGCCTCCAGAAGGCAGTCCACATTTCTAAGCTATATATTGCCCCCTCAGTCTACCTCTGCCCTCCTGGTTAGCCCCTTCAAAAGCCAGATTCTCAGGCTACTTTGGAATAAGGAGGAAAAAACAACAGGAAGTAGGATGTTAGCAAGACTGACCACGGACCTCATTCTCTTCACTTATGGAGAGTAGTATCTGCCTCAAAGGATCAACGTGAATATGAAGTGAATGCAAGTGCTTCACAAATTATAAAACACTATTCAGTATAAAGTGGCATTCTCTGAAAGTTATTTGTTAAACTGTCATCTGTGTTAAGACTGCCCAATTTCTCTCTCCCTCCCTCAAGGTCAGTCACTGATACATGAAAGAATCTACATTTGCTTTATGGTTCATGAAGTACAAAGAAGCAGAGAATTTCATGTGATCTTTCTAACCAGAACCAAACAAAACAGATCCCCCCACCCACTCCCCGCACACATTTTATAGATGAAGCAAAAACTAGAAGACTTCAGTCTTGGAGTGTCACCACCGGTTGGACTAACCCATTTCTAAATTCTTTTGCCTCTCTTCCAACCATTCTTCAGTGCCCCACCTAGCTTAGCTAGAAATTCGTAGCTAGTCTTGTGGGTAAGATGCAGATTTCAAGCTGTGAATGCTGAAAGTTTTGGCTTTTTTGGAAATTCCTAAGAAAGCAGCTTACGTGAAGTGCTTCTGCCACTCGAAGGTACTTGCTCTCCTCGGTGGTGAGGCCCTTGTGGGGTGTGTAGCCAGCATCTCTCAGCCCTGCTTGTTGTTCAAAACGCTGAATGCTCTCCTGGGTCTGCTCTAAGAACAGAGGAAATGATAGTCATTTAGCTAGCCCAGGCCAGCTAAACCACGACAACTGCAACAAAAAAAATAGCCAGGGGCGGCACCTGTCACTCAGTGGGTAGGGCACCATCTCCATATACCCAGGGTGGTGGGTTCGAACCCAGCCCCAGCCAAACTACAACAAAAAAATTGCCGGGTGCTGTGGCAGGCACCTGTAGTCCCAGCTACTTGGGAGAATGAGGAAAGAGAATCACCTAAGCCCAGGAGTTGGAGGTTGCTGTGAGCTATGATGCCACAGCACCCTACCAAGGGTGACAAAGTGAGACTCTGTCTCTTAAAAGGCGCTGTGGCGGGCGCCTGTAGTCCTAGCTACTTGGGAGGATGAGATAAGAGACTCACTTAAACCCAAGAGTTTGAGGTTGCTGTGAGCTGTGATGCTACAGCACTCTACTGAGGATGACAGAGTGAAACTCTGTCTCAAAAAAAACAAAGAGAAACTGGCCACAATCAGGCAAGATGGCACCATCTAACTAGTCCTCTGATCCACCATCTCTCCTGAGTAAAACAGCCCATCACAGTGCATAGAATAGCTGACATGCTCCGTGTCCTTTCTGATTATCTCCATCAGTAAATTAGTTCTACTGTGGAATGAATGACAGATGAATTTTTGTTTAATCTACATACAAACTACATAGGAATGTGGCAGCTATGGATCAGAAATCTAGATATGAGATGTGTTCTATGACTGAGTCATTTCTCTAAGGAAGTATTTTTATCATAAATAAAGAAAAAAACCTAAATTCACAAAGTTTTTGTTTTTTGGGTTTTTTTTTTTTAGAGATAGTCTCACTTTGTCACCCTCGGTAGAGGGCCATGCCATCACAGCTCATAGCAACCTCCAGCTCTTGGGTTTAGGCAATTCTCTTGCCTCAACCTCCCAAGTAGCTGGGACTACAGGCACCCGCCACAATGCCCAGCTATTTTTTTGTTGCAGTTTGGCCAGGGCTAGGTTTGAACCCACCACCCTTGGTATATAGGGCAGGCGCCCTATTCACTGAGCCACAGGCGCCACCTGTGCACAAAGATGTTTTCCAGTCTTACCAGGTAGTCACATAAAAATTTACAAAGTAGGTAGAGTGCATTGGCTCACTCCTGTAATCCCAGCACTCTGGGAGGCCGAGGCAGGTGGATTGCCTGTGCTCTCGGGTTCAAGACCAGCCTGAGCAAGAGCAAGACCCTAGCTCTAAAAACAGCTGGGCATTATGGCAGGTGCCTATAGTCCCAGCTACTTGGGAGGATGAGTCAAGAGAATCACTTGAGCCCAAGAGTTTGACGTTGCTATGAGCTATGATGCCACAGCACTCTACTGAGGGTGACAAAGCAAGACTATCTCCAAAAAAACAACAAAAAAAAACTTTGTAAATGCATACTGAGTAAATGAATGAAATTGTGACTTCCTGAGAATTCAACCTTGGTTTTCTAACCCTAACTGATGAAAGGCTCATTGCTTGATGGTGTGTACAGACTTACCTGAAAGGGACTTTTATAGACAGATATTAATAGACCTCAGTCCATTATCACCTCTTTAACCCCAAAAGGTCTGCAGGATGTAGTAGCTGTTTCTTTTGTGCCATTTTGGGGCAGATCGGGTGGATGTGGTGAAGCCAATAATTCAGGACTCAATTCCTTCTCGTGTTGTGGTTTTTTGCCCTTGCACCAGAGTATGAAATAGTTACTAGGATCCCCAGCTATAAGCTGGGAAATCTATGTGATTGTGATCACATGGTAACAACACTCAAAATCTAAATTGGACTTCTATTGTATTACCACTCAATTTATTTTTTAGCAGTTTAATGGGTATATTTTAGAGTCTCCCATTTTGTGTGGAATTAGATCCTGCCCTTCAAATGCTGTAATTAACATCATTTAAAATATAACTTGAATAAAATATTGAAACCTCAAAAAAAAAATGTACAAAGTGAGAAAGAATTTAATAAACTATAGCATACTGATACCAAGATCTTACATGCAACTTTTTCTTAAAATTTAAGACTATAGCACCACCAAAAGTTCATGGTAATATTAGTTGAGAAAAACCGAATGGTATGCCTACCGGGAATTACCTTAAAATATGCATACATGAGCAGCACCTATGGCTCAGTGAGTAGGGTGCTAAACCCATATACCAAGGGTGGTGGGTTCAAACCCAGCCCCAGCCAAACTGCAACAACAACAAAAAATAGCCAGGCATTGTGGTAAGCACCTATAGTCCCAGCTACTTGAGAAGCTGAGGTAAGAAAATCACCTAAGCCCAAGAGCTGAAGGTTGCTGTGAGCTATGATGTCACAGCACTCTACCAAGGGAGACAAAGTGAGACTGTGTCTCCTATAAAATATATATATATATATATATGCATACATGTGGAAGTGAGTAAGAGAAATAAGTATCTGAGTGACATTAGTGTATTAGGGTGTTATAATCTGAACTGTTGGTAAACTGTAATATGGATAAAGAAGTTATACTGGGTGGCACCTGTGGCTCAGTGGGTAGGGCACCAGCCCCATATACCAAGGGTAGCAGGTTCAAACCCGGCCCCGGCCAAACTGCAACAAAAAAGTAGCCGGGCATTGTGGCGGGCACCTGTAGTCCCAGCTACTCGGGAGGCTGAGGCAAGAGAATCGCCTAAGCCCAGGAGTTGGAGATTGCTGTGAGCTGTGATGCCATTGCACTCTACTGAGGGTGATAAAGTGAGACTTTGTCTCTACAAAAAAAGAAAAAAAGAAGTTACACTGTGCTAAAGAACAACAACTAAGTTTTCTAACACTGTTAGAACATGTTCTCAAGCTTGCAAAATATTAAACAGGAGTTGCTGATTCAAAAAGGTGCATTTATGTGTAAATAAGAGAAAACCAAAGTAAGAGTTTGGACTTTTGGTTCTGTAGGAATTGCCCAAGACAAACTGATACCCTGAAATCAAGGGCTTCTGACTTCAAAACTGAGCCAACCAAAAACCATCTCTATGTACCTTACCCAATAGTGGCACTACTGCTAACCAGCAGAGCTATGTATCTAATAATTATTAACTCCCCACAGCAATTTAGAATAGTCCTCTAGAGCAGTGGTTCTCAACCTTCCTAATGCCACAATTCTTTAATACAGTTCCTGTGGGTCATGACCCACAGGTTGTATACCACTGCTCTAAAGCAAAGAAGTTGTCATAAGGTTTTAAAAAAAAAAAAAAAAAGTAGACTCTGTCAGGCCTCATTAGGAACAATCACATATTCTTAAGACTAAAGACACATGAGGCACCAAAACCTGGTCCTCTTCCTGGTGGACCAATTTTGAGCTGTTTAAAAATATATACATAGGGCGGCACCTGTGGCTCAGTGAGTAGGGCACTAGACCCATATACCAAGGGTGCCAGCTTCAAACCCAGCCCCAGCCAAACTTTAACAACAACAACAAAAAAAATAGCCGGGCATTGTGGTGGGCGCCTGTAGTCCCAGTTACTCAGGAGGCTGAGGCAAGAGAATCAGCTAAGCCCAAGAGCTGGAAGTTGCTGTGAGCTGTGACACCATAGCACTCTAGCGAGGGCGACAAACTAAGACTCTTGTCTCTTAAAAAACAAAAAAATACACACACACACACACACACACGGCAAATGGGAAGTGCCTCAGTGTGTTGCTTTCTCCAGCAGAACTAGAGACAGCAATGGCAGCAGCTCCCAGCCACTGAGCACTGGGCCACCTAAATTCAGCCTCAACCCACCAGCTAGAGTCCCCACATTTTATAAAGGGAGAAACAGTCTCTATAGTTAATGTAACTGGCCCAAAGCCACACTGTCAGACATAGGAAAATGAGACTGTATCAACAAAGCAGCAAGAAGGCACCTAAATCAGCTTATATGCTTAATATCTGGAAAATCTTCCACCTAAATGGAGCTTCAAGGCTGAGGTTGATTCAGCAGCCTAAATGACATTTGCTAGGACATGGTAAAGTAAGCAAGTTTGCAGAATCATCCACAGCTGGGTTGTAGGAAGCCTAAACTCTCCCCTACCCTTACTTCACTTTAAGGGTGAAGAGTGCTTACTTGTGATCAAAGAATTCATGATGACATGGGTAGCTTTAGCCTTCACCACTGGGATCTTATCCGTACTGTCAATGGCTGATGACAGAGTCATAGCAGGGGAGGATACACTGGCCTCTCCTTCCTCCACCTGTTCAAGAGAGGCAAGGAAGTACTTAAGCAGGGCAGGTGAATCATATCCCTAGGCTTACTCTTTTGGGGAAGAAGTTACTTGAAATATATCTTAACTGTAAGTGAATAATTATTTGAAGGGGGCAGTTGGTCATCTCCACCCAGTTAAACAGGTATCACCCATAGTGACAAAAGATGTGTGAACAACTTAAATTTAAAGAAGTGACACAACTACAAGAAGGACTCTACCTAACAAATGCAAATGTTGTAACCTATTTGAACCCTCACATTAACCTGAAATTAAAATAAAAAATAATTTTAAAAAAATTATGAAAGTGAGAAAACCAGAATTTGAAGTTTTGACATCTACTACCATCTCAGCCCATGACTGCATGTATATGATAGTACTATTCTCAGTGAAACAAACAAAAAGAATGCAAGAGAAACCTTACTAAGCACTGACCACTACTAAATTTTACTTAATGAGAGCACTGCTAAGTGGTTCTCAATCTGTCAAACATCAGAATCACCAGGAGAGTTTGTTAAACAGACTGCTGGGCTCCACCTCAGAGTGTGATTTAGTAGGTCCAAGTTGGTCCGGGCTGGGGCAAAAAAAATCTATGTTTCAAAGCAATTCCCAGGTGACACTTATGCTGCTGGTCCAAAGATCACACTTGAAGTAATGGTCTTTTAAAACAATCTATTTAGCTCCTGATCTTTAATGTGCCAAGAGCTGGAAGCATCCACCTTCTATAATCTAAACACCTGAAACCATGCTCTGGCCCAGCAAGAAGTAGAGAATGAAGCTCATTCTCTAATCTCCGCTTCTCCACAGGAACTAAGGAAATAAGATGGTCAGAAAGGAGGGAAGAAAATATTGAAAATAGTGTAATGTTGTAACCCTACTACAAAACCGATTTCATACTTTTCAGCTATAACCTTACTCAAGTAAAACCTGAACCTATGTTTCCTTACTTTGATTCCATAGGCCAGATGCAGTGGTTCATCCCAGCACTCTGGGAGGCCAAGGCAGGTGTATTGCCTAAGCTCACAGGTTCAAGACCAGCCTCCCCAGCCAGAGCGAGACCCTGTCTCTAAAAATAGCCGGGCACTGTGGTGGGCACCTGTAGTCCCAGCTACTTGGGAGGCTGAGGCAAGAGAATCACTTGAGCGCAAGAGTTGGAGGTTGCTGTGAGCTATGACGCCATGGCACTCTACCAGGGGTGACAAAGTGAGACTGTCTCAAAACAAAGAAAAGAAGAAAGAAAATGGTTGATTCCTAATATGCAGATAGTTAGAGCAAATGAAAGAATGCATGTAATGAGTCAAGTTTGCCTCATGTGTTCTTCTTTGAGAGAACAGTTGTTCCAAACTGTCAGCTCTTCCAGCTGAGGCACAACAGGAAACCAGAGGCCCATTCATTGTCTTGTGAAGTGATCAGCAGCCTTTATGAATGAAAAAGTACATTGCCCTTGAAAGCACCACCAAAAGCCCTGCTTACTTCCCACTCTAGCCATTTGAGCCCACTGCTTTGACACTGTAGGCAGGCCGCAGGGGTCCTTTGTTCCTAGTACTTCTACTACTTTTTACATAGAATACTTCCTCCTGAACTGACTGGGTTATATTTCAGTAAATAACTGATATAGGGAATTCCCTGCGGAGCTGTAGGGGATGCTTACTTAAAAGGAGCTTTCTGTTCTGAAAGTCTATCAAAGGAAAAAACTCATTGGAAACAATCAAATACATTTCTACTAAGTAAAAGTTAAACTGGGAGCCAGCAGTCATATCAGCTACACACCTAATATAGTATGGGCCAACCCCTTAAATCTCTTATTCAATCCCACAACACCCCTATGACATAATGTACTTCCATCCCTCAGATGAAGCCATCACGGCTTAGCAGTAAAGCTATGTGCCCAAAGTCATCTGGAATTCACACCCAGGTCTGTTTAAGCAGACCCTCACTGTGTACTCCCTGTCAGGACATTCGCTGTCCCTGAGTGATCATGCAGCTCAAAGTCCAGTGAAACTGTATAGCTGGAGGTTAAATGGTCTTATCTGAACTTGGCAGGCCTAGTTTATTCAGGCAACAATATAACTTTTCTTGTATTCTTGGTGGTTTGGGAGTCAGAGGTGAGAGTCCCTGAAGTCAGGAAGCACAGGCCTCAGTAACAACCACAAAGACCATAGTGAGAACCTATGAAACTAAAACACCCAAAAGGACTGTGAGAACAGATCAAGGTATCCATGAGAAAGGGCAGGCATCCTCAAACTACGGCCTGCGGGCCACATGCAGCCCGCCTAGGACATTTATCCGGCCCACTGGGTGTTTTTGCCTCCACTGCCTGTCCTGCTTAGGAGCCGACTCGTCCTGGGGCCCGGAGTCCAGTCTTTCAACGGTCTGAGGGACAATGAACTGGCTCCCTGTTTAAAAAATTTGAGGACCCCTGAGAAAGGGCCTTGTGAAGGAAGCAGCTCTTACCAAGGATAAAACAGCCATGAGAAAAAACCATTCAAGGCATGAGAAACAGCATGAGGAAAAGGACAGCATGTGTTCAAGAAAGAGCTAATTTTTTCCCCTCAGTCACAAAAGGAACATTTTAGGGGCAGTCCATGCTGAGCCCTCTGCTAGATACTATAAAAGTATACAATTACACACGGCCGCCTGCCCTCAAAGAACTAATAGAGGATGACAAAGTAATACAGGGATTATGATGGGTCCATGGGACAGTGGAAAGCTCAAAGGGAGAGGTGATAGTATTATCAGGATGGAGAGGTCAGGAAAACCTTCACAAAGGAGATTTTTGAGCTAAGACTTAAAAAGATACCATTGAAAGGCAAATAGACTGAGGGGAGGGTGAGAGGACAGGATGGGAGGGTAAGCACCCTAAGCAGTATTGGAGCGGTATGAGGCAAAGAAGTGGAGGCGGAAAATACCTTAGTAAATACGAGAAATCTTTTTTTTTTTTTTTTTTTTGAGACAGAGCCTCAAGCTGTCCCCCTGGGTAGAGTGCCATGGCATCACAGCTCACAGCAACCCCCAACTCCTGGGTTCAAGCGAGTCTCCTGCCTCTGCCTCCCAAGCAGCTGGGACCACAGGCGCCCACCACAATGCCTGGCTATGTTTTTGGTTGCAGCCATCACTGTTGTTTAGCAGGCCTGGGCTGGATTCGAACCTGCCACCTTAGGTGTATGTGGCTGGAGCCTTAGCCACTTGAGCCACAGGTGCCAAGCCAAGAAATCTTAAGTAACATGCATGACTGGATCCTGAGTAGGGGCCCTGGAGAGAGGTACATGGGACCTAATTGTGCTAATGAACTCGGATTTAACTTGGCTGGGAAATGGAGGGGGTGCGGACAGAAGAGTCTCAGGTAGAACACATGGCCATCCCAGTTTTTAATCAAAAAAAAAA